GCGCGCGCGGCTGCTGGCGCGCCCCCGCCGAGCGGCGCGCGAGGTCGACGGCTGTCGAGAGGCACGCGCCAGGCGGCCCGGCGCCGGCCGGCGGCGCGGAGGGCGCGCTGTAGAGCGGCTGCACGCCCTGCGCGCCACCACGTTGATGGAACCCCGCCCCGGCCGCCGGCGAGCCGGGCGCGCCCCCGCCGCCCGGCCAGCCCCCTCCCTCCCGCCATATGTGTGTCGGCCTTGCGTCACCCGTCAGGAACTGCGGCGGCGAGCGAAGCGCAGCGGCGCGCCGCCCGTCGCCGCCGCCGGCGCCGGCGCCGGCGCGGTGCGCCTCGAAATAGTCGCTCCCCTGGCTGCCGCCCCTGCTCGGGCCGCCCTCGCCACTGCTGCTGCCAACCATGCTGTGCAGCAGCGGCGGCGGCACTGCAGCGCTGGCGGCGGTGTCGCCGCCGTAGCCGCCCCTGCGGCGTTGCTGCTCGAGCCACTCCTGCGCGTTGAGCGCGGCTCCGCCGCGCGGCCGCGGCCAGCCGCCTCCGCTCGCGCCGGCGAAGCCGCCGGCCGCCGCGGCGCGCTCTGCACTGCAGTCGGGGCCGAACCAGCTCTGGGCGTACTTGTTCGTATTGCGTTGCGGGTCGATCGTGGGGTCGGCCAGCGGCACCCCAGGCCCCGTGGGCAGCCCCAGCGCCTCCCAGCCCCACGGCGACCGGCGAGGCGGGGGCGCGCTGCCGGCGCCCGACGGGGGGCGCGAGGATGCCGTGGCCGCGGCGCCCTCGGGCGCTGGCGGCGGCACGCCTTGAGATAGGGCCCTGGGCAGCTCTCGGTGGGCGCCGAGCAGCGGCCCCGGCGCCGGCGGGGCGCCGGGCCCCGGCGCGGGCCGCGCGAGCAAGGCCGCGCGCGACGGCGGCCGCGGCTTTGGCGGGAGCGACGCCACGCCCAGCACGCCGCTTGCACTGCTGTGTGGTGAGGTTTGGGGGTTTCCAGGGGTTGCATAGGATGTTGATGGCATGCTTCACGCTTCAGCATGACAAAAACATCCACTCTTTGGAAGGAAAAGAGGGCATTCCTTCCAAAAATCTACGCCACCACCAGCTGCCCATCTCCATGCTGGAAGCGGCGGCCCGCCCACCTGTAGTGTAGAAAATCGTCCGCCGGCCGCCCCTGCCCCCGCGTCGAGCGCGCCCTGTGCAGGCCGGCCTGCAGGGGGTTGAGGGCCCCGGGGTGCGAGACACTGTACGCCTCCTCCAGGGCCATGGGGCGGGGCGCATCCTGCTGCTGCTGCTGCTGCTGCTGCTGCTGCTGCTGCTGCTCGTGATGGTGGTACTGGTGCTGAAATTGATGAGGAGCCTCTCCGCTGTAATAAGCGAACACGCTGGGCTGCACGCCCCTGCCGGGCGTCCCCACGGCGCCCCGGCGACCGGACGCGGGAATGGCCGGCGTCGCGGCGCTGCGGCCGAGGACGTCGCGAGTGGGCAAGGGCGGCTGGGCGGCGGGCTCGGGTGGGGGGCGCGGCGGCGCGGCCTCGGGCGAGGCGGGGCCGAGGCCATCGGCGTGATCTAGGGTGTGGCGTCGCTCCGGTGGCGAGGGACGGGCCACCGCACCAGAGAGGGCCTCGCCTGCTGCTTGTGCTGCTGCTGCGGCAGCGGCGGCGGCCGCCATCACCTCGATCGGAGCGGCGCCGCCCCGCCGCGGCTGCGCTGCGCCCTCTGTGTCGCCCGCAGCGTCCTGTCTGGCATCAGCGATGCTCGCCGGCACGTCCGAATCTGCGCCTGGCGCCCTGGCTGCAGGCTCCACCCACTCTCCTCCCGCCTCCGCCCGCGCAGCCCACCTCCGGCGGCCCCTGCCGCCCTCCGGCCGCGCCTCCCCACTGTGCCGCCCCTCCGGCTCCCCGCCGTCCGGCGCCGCGCCGGCAGGCCCCGCCGCGGGGCGCGGCAGGCCCAGCCGGGCCTCTATTTCGTCGGCCTGCCGCCTGCTGAGTGAGGCCTGCGCCGCCGCGCCGTCCAGCAGGTCAAACTCCAGCAGTTCCCCGTCCCCGCCGCCCTCTGCATCCGCGACTGTGTCCTCGCCGGCGGCGGTGGTGGGGGGCGATATGAGCTGCAGGGAGCGGCGCGGCAGCAGCGCGCCCGCCTCCAAAGAGCCCGGGCCTGCACGGCCGGCGGAGCTGCCCAAAGCGGCGCGGGCGGGGCCGGGCCAGGCGCCGTCTGCAGGGGGCGGTGCCGAGCTCGGGGCGCGTGCGACGGCGCCGCCGGCGCAGGGGCCCTGTGGCAGGGGCGCTGCGGTGCTGGTGGTGCGCCGAAAGGACCGCGTCGCGCTCGAGCGGCGCATGGCCTCCGCGAGGCCGCTGCCCCACGTAACGATCTGCCCGGCCTCCGAGCCGCTCGGCGCCGCGGCGAGGGTGGACGCGCGCCGTGACCCCGGCAGCGACTGGGACGGTCGTGCGGACGGCTGCGGCGACAGCGAGGGGCGGGGCGCGTCGAGGGCACCTGAAGGCTGCGCGCCCGCGCCGGCCGTCGATGAGGGAAGAGGCGCGGCCGCCCCGGCGCCGCCCTGCTGGGGCTGCTGCTGCTGCTGCTCCGAGGGCCGCTCAACGGTCGGAGCCGGGCGGGGCGCAAGCGCCCCTTGCAGCAGCCGGTGGAACGCCTCCTCATCTCCCCCCAGCGTCTGCGACAGCGTCGCGCTCTGCCGCACCGCCATCGACTGCGCCAGCGGGCCGCGGCCGAGCGGGCGGCGCGAGATGGCGATCGGCAGGCGGTCGCCGGCGTCAGAGTCCGACGGCCGCGCAGACAGCTCGCCTGTCGTGGCGGCGGCGGCGGCGGCGGCGAGGTCCACTGGCAGCACGAGCTGCCGCCCAGCACCGTCCGCGGCGGCTGCATGCGCAGGGGCCGTCGCGCGGCTGGTGACACTGCGCCTCAGGTCTCCCGCTTGAAGCTCCTGCGCATGCGCGGGAAAAGATGTTCAGGATACACTCCATGCACCTCTCTGTCTTTGGTGCATCTCAGCTGTTGAGCCCCCATTTGCGTTTGTGCTATGAGGCTGGACTCTGTGCCATGCGGCACAACCATCCTACGCCTCAAGCGCCAAGGGCTGCTGGCGCACCTCGTTGCCCGCCAGGCAGTGTGCAAAAGTGAGGCTGTCTATCGAAGCCTGCTGGTGCTGCCGCATCCCCTGCTGCCGCCCAGGACGGGAGACGCGGCCGCCGGCAGGGGACGGGGACGCAGCGGGCAGGGGCGAGTCTGCGCGAATGCAACGTGTTGGCAACTGTGAAACAGTGGTCGGAGCATGACCCATCTCGCATTTTCAACACCTGCGCCATGCGCATGCAAGGGATCCACAACAACATGTGGTGCATGCAGCGCATGCATGTGAACACCGTGCATGCAATCAAAAGGACACATGCGGTGCATGCGCATGGGCTCCACTCAGACGCAACCCCACCTGCGCCCTCGCGCTCTCCCTCCACGACCTGGCCGAGCGCCTGCCCCACCAGCGCGCCCGCCTCCGCCGCCGCGGCGGACCGCTGCCGCACCGCCGACAGGGAGCGCGACAGGGGCCCGTCGTGCGCCTCTGAGGTTGAGCCGGGGTGGCGGATCAGCTCCGCAAAATCTTCGATGCTGTGGCGCGCGGCCGCGGCCCAGCGGTGCGCGGCGGCGACGGCGGTCGCGGCTGAGGCGGTACTGGCGGCTGCGGCGCCGTCGCGCGAGGCGCGGCGCGAGGCGGCGCGGGAGGCGGCCTGCGAGGGGGCGCCGTCCGGGCGGGAGACGTCGGCGCCGCCAGGCGCCACGCTCCAGCCCTTTGCGCCGCTCCTGTGCAGCGCCGCGAATAGGGACGCCAGTCGGTCCGCCGCGCCGGCGCCGTTGTCGCCATCCCTGGACATGTCCTCAAAAGAGGCGGCATGCTGCAGAGAGTCCAGCGCCCTGGCCGCGGCCGTCTGGTCCTTCTGGTATGCCTGTGGGCGTGCAGTAATCGCCCATCATGTGAGAAGCGGCACGACGAGTGCAGTAAGGATGACAAAGGCAAAATTGGCTTGCCAATGTTGCGCATATGCATGAAGCTCTTCCACTCGCATGCTGCTGAGTTCCGCCATGCACAGCAGCCGCACGACTGCGCTGATTGATGCGAATTGTTTGGATTCTGTGCGCCCACGAAACATGGGTGTGTACGTGAGCAGCCACCTCAGCAAACCTGGTGGTCTTGCAGCCATTGCTGCTTGAACAGAGACAGCTGCCTCGCGTCCTCTTGAAGCCGTGATTTGACTGCGTGTTTGATGGTTGACGCATGTCCAGTTGAGTGTGAGCCCGCTGTTTCTCAGGGTCCAATGCGGGCAAATGCGCTGCAACGGCGTTGCCTTTTCCGCTGGCCCGTCACACACCTGCATCAGAGAGCTCGGGCACCTGCGACGCCGCATGCTTGTTGTCCCTCCGCCTCTTGATGACCTAAAGATTCCACGGGTACAGCACAGATCAACATTCAACCACATGTGCATGGTGCAAGCCCAGGCTGGGTTGCGCAAACGGCGCCCCGCGACAGGAGAGGTCGCGTACAAGCGCGGGCGTCCGGCATGGCGAGAGCTCACCTCCTTTGCCTTGCCATGGCTCTCCTGCAGTGCTTCCTCGGCACCATGCAGCACTAATCGCAGCAGACGGTCCCTGCTAGAGTCCGCCATCAGATCAGCGCGCGGTCAACAACTGGCTGTCATGTCTGAAATGGAGTCTGATATGGAAGGAATTTTTAGAGAGACTATACCGTTAAGGGATATGGCAGGCCACGGCAGGCTCTAAGGGGAAGACTTTCGTTTGACACGCCGCGTGCAGCCTCCACAGCAGCTGCTATCAAGTCAAATGGCTTGCAAAATACAAACGATCGCGCCACGTTTTTTGAGGGGGTCCACCTTGCGATTCGATCTCTATGATCAGGTCCGGAACGAGCACGCCAACCGTTCAGCTGCAGAGCGCATTCAGCGCGCGGACAGTATTATCACAGCAACTCGATCAGGGCCGCGCGAAGCACACGCAGGAAGGGGCTACGATTTGCAGTTGCCACGCTGGGGGCTGGGCGCGCATCAGCAAGCGGCACCGCCGGGGCCGCGGCGAACCATTGTCCTCGCAGCCGCACCTGTAGCAAGCGGAAAAGCTGCGCATTGTGGCGGGCCCAGCAAGCCGGGAAGGCAGCTGCCCGGGATGGCGCGGCCGCGTCACCCGCTGGAGTCGCTCGTCGCGTCCCACTTTCCCCCAATAGCTCAGGGCTTCGCCTACGGCAGCGGTGTATTCCTACAGCCAAACCTGTACGCTCCCGAGGAGCAGGTGGTCGCTGCCACTGCCGATGGCCGTGGGATCGTCGGCGGCAGAGTCGGCGCCGGCGCGCCCGTTGCCCCCTCGTCCGAGGCCGCTGCGGCCACCCTCAAAAGTGGCAGCAGCAGTAGCAGCAGCACCCGTAGCAGCAGCAGCGGCAGCGCTATCAACGGCGGCCCCATGATTGATTTCATATTCATCGTCGACGACCCTGAAGCCTGGCACGCGCAGAACATCGAGCGCAACCCCAGCCATTACTCATTCGTCAAGTGGTTTGGCCCGGCGGCCGTCGCGCGCGCCGCAGACGCCATCGGCGCGGGCGTGTGGTTCAACACCCTCGTGCCGCTGGAGGGGCGCCTCGTGAAGTACGGCGCCATCGGGCGGGCGGCGTACCTCGAAGATATGCTGACGTGGCGCCACCTATACGTGCCGGGGCGGCTGCACAAGCCGGTCCTGCCGCTCGGCCAGCTCGGAGCTCCGCCCCCGGCGGGAGAGCCGGCGGTGGGCGGCTCGGAGCATACACAGCAGCAGCAGCAGCAGCAGCAGCAGCAGCAGCAGCAACAGCAGCAACAGCAGCAGCAGCAGAAGCAGCAGCAGCAGCCCCGGCCCCCCGACGCCGCCCGCCGCCAGCTCGCCACTGCCGCCGACGCCAACCTCCTCGCCGCGCTGCGCGTCGCGCTGCTGCTCTCCCCCGCATCCTGCGACTTTCGGGACGTCGTGCGGCGCGTGGCGGGGCTGTCATATGAAGGGGACATCAGGATGGGACTGGCAGAGGACAGCCAAAAGGTTGAGCGCATCGTGGCCGGCAGCTGGTCAGGGTTTTGCGATCTCTACCTGCCGCTGCTGCGCGACCCGCGGATCGGCGCTGCGGGTGGCGGCGGTGGCGGGAAGGAGGGGGGTGGCCCGGTGCTGGAGGTCGAGGGGGCGGACGACCTTGCGGCAGCAGTGGCGGCGGCAGCGGCGGCCGGTCGGCTTCCGGCAGCGGGGGCCGGGGCAGCGCACGGCAGGGGCTGGGCGGCGATGAGGGCCGGGGGCCGCGCGGCTGCGGCGCAGGCGGCGCAGGCGGCCGCCGCCGCGTGGCCGCGGGTCACGATCGAGCAGGACGCGTCGCCAGAGGGGCGCGCACGCGCGATCAGCGAACTGCCGGCCGCGCTGCTGCAGCGCGTCGCGCGCCGCGTCGGCGTGCGCAGCTCCTGGGCCGCGGCCGCGGCGCAGCAGCAGCCGCTCGGCGG